GCATCTTGAATGCGAACAGAATTCGTTACTTGTGTCAATGCCGCAGTGGCTGATGATGCGGCAGCAGCAGAGAATGCTTGAGGATTGGAAAAGGATAGGATAAAAGCTTCAATGTGTATTAAGGCCAATCTTCTAGATGCATCTAAGCTTACACTCTTTGAAGTGCTTTCTGTAGCAACTAGATCCAGTCTGCAGAAAATGTAAATTTCATCATTTGTTGTCAAAACAAGCCATTCCCAAAAGATAGAGAAAGAGACAGAAGCAGCAGCATAGAGTACATAAAATAGAAGATGATCTATAAATAATAATCCACAAAAATATCATAAAGTTCCACCTTTTCCTGATAAAGGAAAACTCAGGAATAATTAAGACTTAATCCATTGGAAAAATATGCAGTAACAACAATAAACTAAACTTTTTTCCGGCTAAATGGATGCTTCAATTTGAAGTAAACCCATTATTCAAGCCTTCAATTATTAATTATGCTCATGACAATTTGGGCAATTGGATGAGTACTTAAACTGAGATAATTCTTACCCAAAAACAAAAAAAGAAAAAAAAAGAAAAAGAAAAAGAAAAATGATTGACAGTGAAAAAGAGACTTTACAAGGAACAACAGTTGGAATCATTGCACTAATTATGCCCAGGGAATGCAGTAAATGGAATCTATAGAATCATTATCAATCAAATATTGCAAAGCTTCTGATATTTATATTTTACATGAAGTTTTTCAAGCAAATCAATTGTATCTACTGGCTCAGTACTATTCTTGGAGGAGACCGCGTAACGAGAACCGAGGCTTGAATGCTCTTTATCCATGAATGTTGAATTACGAGCTCATCCATATAAGTAAGCTATTGGAAAGGTAGTAATCTGTTGGTTTATATTTTTTGCACATATGTAATGCGAATAAAGAATTTGAGATTTGAACCGTGGATCCAGGTTAAATCCCCATATCATCTTTAAAAATAATCCATTCTCTATTTTCGATGTATTAAACTAGCGCTTGGCTTCTCGAATTGTTGAATTCCTGTTATGCTGCAATCTCTTCCATCAAATAGAGATCATATAGCTTTGTTTTTTAACTATGATTCCAGAAAGCGGATGATAAGCTTGATCAGACCAAAATATAACAAAATAAGATCACATTCTATTGCTGTAAGGAAGAAAAGTCAGCTTCGCACAATCAAGTATGAAAAGAGCTAAAACCAAACTATATTTGTTCCAACACTTATCTTAAATAAGTAACTTCTCCTTTACAATTCTTTCATCCTGTCCATGCACTCTCAATTTTGTCTTTTCTACGGAATGTATCTTGTGAATAGTGTAAAAACCACATGATACGTTCCAAAATTATTAAATAATTAAAAACCATATGATACATATGTTCCAAATCATTAAATGATGTCATCTACATAACCTAGTTTTAGCCCCAATATAAGCAGTGCAATGGATATTGGAGTTAAAACATTGTTTTGCAGGTCAAATCTTCAATAAGCATAAACCCAGAGAGAACAATATCTATCAGACTTGTTGATTTACAAGTTCGGACTGACGGTGAGAACTGGTTCTGGGCCTCCATAATATCATAGTTAATAAAGGAAGTTGAAGTATAAAACGAACTGCCTATGGAGTAATAGTAAAAGTATGGGAAAGGGTCCATAGAGGATTTTCAGAGGTTCCCAGTGTAGTGCACTCTTCAGATATAAGCATTTAAAAAATCCCAGAAAAATCTCGCAAAATCTCAAGATGGTTTGCTCTCATACATCATATCTGTTCAAATATCAGATGATTGTTTGGCCCCCATAAAATTATAATTCATTTTTTCTCTCTTCTTATCAACCACACATTCTCTAATAAAATAATATTAACGTAATACCAACAAATTTTCTTCATTTTTTTTAACCACACATTTTTCAAAAAAAAAAAAAAAATTCCAACAATTAAAATTTCGAATAATGGAAGCCAAACGGGGGCTTACATAATTACAGAAATATTTTGCCAGAAAATAAATCTCTTCTGAATCACCTTTTTACTCTTTGGCATACTGATTTTATTAAAATGTATTGCTTCTTTCAACAGATGACCTTGTGCTTCCATGGTCAAACATCATTAGTGTGACCTATTACTGACTTACATGGGCCAGTAAATTTTTACTTTTTGTACTGAAAAGTGATCATTAAGAATAAAACTTACTTTTCAAGGCAAAGAACAGGGGTCTGTCCATCATCTCGATACTTGCCCAAGCAATCATTATGAGTGTTTTACGTGATTTAAACCAAGGATAATCAGGTAAATGACCTCACTCTCGTCAAAACGTGAACTATGAACAGTCGAGACTAAATTGGTAGCAAGGCTTATTCTTCTGCTCAAATTCTAAAACAACCCGCGGAAACTTATTCGCAGGTGCCAATTACACACCACTGCGTTAAGGTTAGAAGAACCTCCATTTTGTAACTGGTGACATCTACAATTCGTTCCCTATTTACATTTAATGAAACAGGCAATTAGAAAGATTTCATTGAGCGTTTTTCCTTCACATAAAGCCTAGGCATAATTTACTAACAATGTCATCATAAAAAGAACAATGAAAGGAAATGTTAAAGAAATACTGATTTAAATTTTCAGAGTAGAGTTTAACGATATATATAAATCTCATTGAGGCCAGCCACCTTTCAACATCTGAGGTCCAATTATGATAAACTATTATGATACATCCTCGCAGCAAATTCATTTTTCTAGTAGCATATATTGTCCATTTCAAGGAAAAAGGGAACACTAGAAGAATAGAAAAGGAGGAGAAAAGACAATTTTATTCTTGTGTCTGGATTCAAAAGATTAAGTACCTTCCATCAAACATGTATGCCAGAGCCAGTGCCGACATGAAGCGGGCCATTTTTGATGCTGAAGAAGAACAAAGATGAACCAGGGCAGGAACCCCACCTTCCTCTACAATACGAAGAGCATTACCAGGATTGAAAGCAAGATTCCAAAGAGCCCCAGCAGCTGTCTCGTGGACATCCTAGAAGTTGATGAATACATCAAGATCAATCCAGATCCCATAGCAACAAAAAACAGTCTAAACAAGAGAAACAAGAATATGTAGCACATCAAGCATTGTATCAGATTTTCATGTAAAGATCAGTATGTGTATGTCTGCTGAACAATCGATGCTTTATGCCAATGAACAATTACAATTACACCACAAATCAATTTGGCATCGAAGGCATCAATAGGAACGAACCTTTTAGCGAAATTTGGAAAAAATTTCAGTCCTGAATTCACAGTAGCTGAATTACAAATTTTCTGAATCTTAATCCTTCATAATCTTTTGAGAAACTTCACTTCTCATGTCAAGATTTAAGTATCTAACTAAAAAGGTGATTCAGCCGAGATTGGTTCGAGTACCTTTTTAAACTTCACTTCCCCTTAAATCTAGGCTGAATCACCAATATGTTTGACTCCCACTGTAATATTTGAAGTCCTTTCGGAAACTCAAACTATTTAAGAATGCAAGACTCAAGAATATAAGCCAAGTCTCTCATGTGACCCTGCATTATCTCAATATCACCCCCAAATGTATATATATTGTATGAATATCAGGTTGGATAAGAATCATTGAATACGTTTGCTGTCAATTACTCAACTCATTCAGCTTTCGGCTCAAGAAGATAATTCTACAAGTTTAAAAAAAATTGGCGTGAAGTTGTAGGAATTTTTTTGTAGGATAAGTACAAAAGGAGAGAAAGGCCTGCGTCGCATAGCCACAATTCATTTTTTATAAGCTCTGATTTAGAATCCACAATAAAATTTGACCGTGAAGAAATTAATGAAATTAACCATTAAATGCAACTTGAGACCACTAGTAACCTAACACTTTATCATGGTAAGGCACAACCAAACAATTGAGCACGGGGCATACGATAGAGAGAACAAATACAACACTTGAATTGCATGCAGAATGATCAGAGGGCACCAAGGATGTTTCCCAAATAAGAAATTACCTCAGCATCTGATTTTGCCAGTGATATTAGTGGTGCCACACCTCCTTCTTGTCCAATGGCAATGCTATTGCAAAAGCAATATAAACACGATGAATAAAATTCTAGGCAATGGAAAAATCGAACTATGTAATGACAGTGATTCAATGTTCATCAATATCATGGCATTGTGATTGAACATGAAAATAACAGCTCCTTGAAAATCAAAACCAACGGTTCTAACATCAAGCCTAAAGTATGAAAGTCATCTCATACTTTCTTCTTTCATAGACAAATTTTATCTCTTCATATAGTGTCGCGTAATAGAGAAATGCTATCTCGTCATATATTGTCATATAACAGTGTTCATGTCCCTGAAGGCTTCCATTATTCCTAAAATTATTTACTCAGTATGTATAAATTACTACATGAAATGATAAAATCACTTAAAGCATGTAAGGAACCACTAGACAATGAAACTCTGTTATATAGACTTGGCATACACCAATTAGAAGCAGCCCTATGTGAAAATAGTAAAAAAAATTTGCACATACCTATTTGCTTCTGACACAGACAATCCCCACAGAGCACCAGCAACCCGCTCCTGAAGGCCACGAGAGACATTTGAATAGGAACGTGCAAGAGAAACCTAAAATACCACATAAGATTATCATGAGCTAAAAATATGTATTTTTTTAAGAACATTAAGAATAAAATGATTCTTTAAGGATAACCTTCAGCGGCAAAGAACAACCGGGAAAAGGTTTCAAAAATATACGCAACAAAACGAATAGCAATTGCAATTTTAATGTATGAGAAATATTTGGATATTAATGACTTGATGAGGAGTAACATTTTTGCACTTGCAGAAACCGAGTAACTATGGGCATTTTTCCAAAAAGTCATTGAGAGAGGTTAAGAAATAGTTATATAATCAAGAATGCTCAGACAAAATTCATAATACTATGTTGGATAAGTTCCTTAATAACTCAAATATTAGAAACCTCATTTATTCTAGAAAAAGGTTTTTCACAGCATTAAAAAATAATTGCAATAAAGAGGGTTGCTTTTACATAGATATGCTAGAAATAACTATAGAATATAGGGTAAGAAGAAGAAACGTGATACTGAAATTTTCAATTTAATTCTTTTCTACTAACTCATTGTAAAGCCAAAACTGGTTCTGGGAACACTACAGGTCCATTTACTCCTTTCACGTGTGTATCTGTTAGGGGATCTGCACCTAGGGAAAATGACCAAAACTGAACTCTGGTTTAGATTGGTCCATAATGATGAAAAAACAACTCGAGTTTAAAACAAGTAACGCGTGGTTTGCATGGGAACCAAATAATAACTTCTTTCGTGATATAATGTGCAATGAGTAAATCTATAGCTCTCTAACTGTTACTATAATTGTAACAGCCATCAATGGTACTATAAATTATATATTTTCGATTTGAGTTTTACCAAACAAGAGATGTCATGAAACTAGTGAAAATTCCACCAAAAGCAAAATCATCCCATACAAAATTGATTCAAAGCTCGATTAGTTCAATTTTTGAATTTTCCAAACAGGGACGTAGGTATTTTGTGAGCCAGCCAACCACCATGAGTGCACAAATATTAATGCACGGCACCGACTTGCAGTGAAATAATTCTGATCAACTAATATTTGTAAATGTAAGGATTCAATCACAAGCAAGCCATATGATCGTGGCAGCAGAAATATGGACCAAACAACAATTGACAAACTTAAAACCCCCATATCCAGTGCATGCATCTACATGAAAGGTAACATAAGAAAATTTGCTCATTAAGCCCCGTCTAGTGCATGCATACTGCAGCAGCAAACAATGAATCATTAATCCTTACAAAAGAGCACACATACTGCAGCAGCAACTGGCTGACATAACGCATACGTAATCGAGTAATTCTATTTGTCGTTTCCATTTTTGCCGGTATCCAAATAAACCATCGCTAGCAGATAACTTCAAATGGAAACAATAAAGTCGGATCAGAAAACACTTAAAAGGAAAACTCGACCACTTGAAGCTACTTACAGAAGAATTCAATTCCAGAATAAATTTTATATATGATGTCGATAAACATAATATCTTATATGTTTATTAGCACCTCAGAAGCCCAACATATAGAGTCTCATAGACAGGCACATGCATCACATAAATATAAAAGATTCACAAATACAATAAATTCTAATATAAAATTTAAGGATGTCAAAGGCAAATTAACTATTCAAAAGTTCCTCATAAAAGAATAGCGATAAGCTCGTGCATGCATATTATATATGAGCTAGGTTTCTTCAACTATTGCAGACTTCCCTAGTTCCCACAGGTCCAAAGTTCAAGTTGATTACTACATAGTCATAGAGAACATAATGAAATATTTCAAAGACTAAGCTAGAAGAATAGCTACATTTCAGAAGCCAAAATACAAACAAGATTCCAAGAATTTATTTTAACACCCATGTCAACATAATAACATTCACTATGGTTTGAAGTACTCTAGTAAGTAGTAATCCACAAGATTTTCAGAAAAATAAATTCCTTATTCGGAATCTTAATCAGCTGTTATCTCCATAATGTTGCAACTTTTGCCAGGTTGAATTACTTCAACAAGAACACGATTCAAACAGCACGTATATAAAGAGGACCACATTTTTTCTCATAATTCCCCTATTTTTTTTTTTTAATTTATTCTTGATGCGGTGGGGGCGAACATGCTACATGCACAAAAGAATAGCCACCTCATAAAAGGCAGAAGAAGGCCCATAGTACGATTAGGTACCCACCATGTAAGGGTGGTTTAGGGATAAATGTTGATCTTAACTTTGGCATTGTTGCACAAAGTGGCTGCCCTCAAATTTATTCAACTCTTTAATGGCACTTTATGGATTTGTAATCTTTGGATAATAAGGCTTACAGAATTACCTTTCAAAAAAAAAAAAAGGTTTACAGAATTGTTGACTCGTCCCCACACTTAAAAATAATTGAAGACTAGTTGTTTCAAGACATTTCATAGTCTCGGCAAAGTATTTCTGACCAGGGATGCAGCCAAAAAGATGTAGTAATATAGAGAAGAAGAATGCATACCAATGCCTCAACACCACCAGCAGCTGCAATTGCTTCTCGATTTCTGTCATCAAAGGATAAATTCCATAATGCACCAACGGCTTCTTGCCTGTATACCACCCAAAATTAGTGTTGTGGTTTTCATTCTTATGCGCAATAAGTATCCACCAAATGAAGAAAAGCAGAAAAGAAGCTACCAAGCAAAAACCTTAGAAAACTGGAACAGATGATTGAAATTTCGATTTTAAAAATGCACTACCTTACACCATCATGAGAAGAACGCGTAAGTTGCACAAGTGCCTCAAGAGCTCCCGCTTCTTGTCCAACAGCAGCATTGTTACTATTGCTATCTCCATGAGCAGCTAAATTTGCCAATGCACGAGCCGCCTGGAAAATAACAATAAATATTGGTGAGAAATTTGAAACATAATTATTCAATATGGAGATATCATTCATGCATAAAAAAGCAAACTAAACATCTAACTGGCCATGGAGTAACATCTAAGAGTTAATAAAACCTGTTACAGTACTCCTTCAGATTAATACAAGAAAAAGGCTAGGGAATATTGTATAATGATATATCACATCACTTGCAAAGCAGGATAATTACATGGTCAAAACAAGAGAAAAAAGACTTCTCAAAGGAAAAGACATTGCAAAGGAGACTTTCCAGATATTATAGCTGAAATGAGGTGATAAGTTATTCAATAATTTCACTTAAGACTCCAGTACCATATATCAGAAAGAATTTGGAAACAAATAATTTTTCTTTTCAGAATCTAAATATTGGAAGGCTTGACAAACTTCATTTTTCAAAATATGGTGAAACTATCAACCTTTAACATATGTAATCTCTTTATATGTGTTGAAGATCTTGGAAATTAATGACTGATTGTCTTATTGTTAGAATTGAGTTTGTTTCATTATCTAAATTTCAATTTTAAATTGTGGTTATCTCAATTATGTAGCTATCCCTAGAATAGAGGACCGCAGTTGTACATCCAAGATATATAAATACATGTAATGTGATGAGTTAAATATATGAGAAATAATTCCTTTCTTGTAGTGTTCTTCATTCTGTTCTTCTTCACCGGTTTTAATATGAAAAAAAATTACATATTACATATATGGAGGAGAGAACCAAAGCAACAAGGCATAAGAAAAAGTGGGTGTAGCCCTCACATAAAGAAAAAAAGTACAAAGAAGCTCTAATAGAAAGCACATATGTCATGACATGTTAACTTAAAAGGGATAGATTTCTGGAGGTCCAAGAACATCTGATCCTAGTAAATCAAAATTGTTTATGAATTCTTCATGGAAACATTATTATCTTTTGATTTCCTAACTAGCAGTTGTGATATGAAAGACAGCCTTTCTAACCTAGTGATGGTAGACACAGACGTGAATTGTCTGGTTCTTTATTATTGTAATTATTATGAGAAAATGCAACCTGCTCTTGAACTCCTTTAACCTTGCAACCCCTGGCCAAAGTTACTAAAGCAGGTACTCCGCCCGCTGAAGCAACTTCCATGGTGCACTTATCATCCGCTGCCAAGTTTGCTAATGCACCAGCAGCACGTTCCTGAAATCAAAAAGAACCAAGCATTAGCGCTTGAGCACTGTAAAGCAACTCAGTTTAGAAAGGATTCCATTACTGAGCGTTATAATCTCACATAAAATTACTCAAAAACTTCAATACGTGTGACACATACCAAAACTCCTTCAGCGCCAGCAATGCCAGACCACTTAAAGATAAGATCGACGAGAGCTTTTACAGCAGCAGCTTCAGCAATGGCAATCTGGAAGCAGAATTTGATTTATCGTTATTTCAAAGAAACGGCATAAATAAAATGCAAATAATCTAATATAAACAGAAGAGAAACAACCTTGTGCTCTTCACCAACGGAGAGGTTCCAGAGTCCTCCAGCAGCCTCTTCAGCAACCATCCTGTTCATAGAACTAGCCAGATTTGTCAAAATATTGATCCCTCCTTCCTCTGCCACAGCTTTTGCGACATAGGCATTCACTGATAAGTTTGCTATAGCCTGCACATTTTAAGCAAATCTATAGCATGTTTTGGGGTGATTTGAAGTGCTTATAAGTAGTTAAATAAGTGGTCAGTAAGTTGTGGACCTATAAAAAGTGTCATTAAAAGTATGTTTAACTATTCAAATTATAATTTAAGCAGTACATGAATCGGTTTTTAGGCATTATAAATGATGAATAATCTTAAAAACACAACTAATGATTATTATCTACAGGAAATAATGCTAAGAAAATTTGAAAAAAATTGTAAGATAAATTGGATCATCTGATCTCCCTCAAACTAAAATAAAACAAAAGAAACTAAATGCTCGAGAAAAACAAACCAAATCATAAGACTGGAAATTACAGTTTAGAACCATTTGTTAAGACTCTCACCTTTGCAGCTTCTGCTTGAAGCCCTTCCTGCCATGACCTAGCAAGGTTTAGAAGAAGACGTATACCTCCAACTCGAGTAACTGCTTCGGCCCTTCGAGGGTCTATACTGGCATTTTCATCATCAATGACAACAAAAGTAGCGAGAGTTGTGGCCGCTCTTTCTTGAACTTCCTCATCTTCACTCTGCAAGAAACTAAGCAACAGCGAGGTGCCTTGGTTGAGCCAAAACTTATCCAAACCTGGAGGGTTGCTCTCTGAAATTCGTAAAAGCGCATAGCACAGGGTCCATTCCAGCCACTTCACCACCTCATCTAATTTCCTATCCTTAATATTCATATTTCTCCAATTCAAGAAAACATTCCTCTCGTTCTTTGTAGTATCATCAAATAGTGAAGCTACTCCTTTAAAATTGTCTGTAGAGACGGCAAACAGAACTTTACCTTTATAATTGTTACCTGGAACAAAGGTGGCATCTTCCTCAAGTGCTTGGCAATTTAAGGCGCACAGGACCTTCAAACTGTGCCATGATTTTAACAGACCTGAAACAGCATTAGGGGTAATATCTGTTCTACAAACATCTAAGCCTGTCAAGTGACGCAGCTTTTTCCAGTGCTGTAATACCATACCCCACCTAATATTACATGTCCCTGCGACAGAGAGGAAGCGGACTGATATAATATTTCCTATAGCTATCTCGTCAACTTTTCGACAATCAATGAATCCAATATCCATCAAGTTCGGACAATACTTTGCCAAAGCATTGATAGCATCCGCACCAATTTCTTGTATACCCGTGAGCCTAAGTTTTTGCAGTCGGGGACAGCAAATGGCAATTGATTTTAGTGCTTCACTGCTGATCATTTCACATAAATCTGGCTCAAGCTGGAGGCACTCTAGTGCTTCATGTCGAGCAGCAAGCACAGATAATGAAGCATCCGTAATTTTTTGACAACCATCGACACTAATCTGACGTAAACTCCGAGCTTGAAGGTTTATGATAGCATCAGCAGGTTCAGAACCCCGGAACCGAAGTTTTTGAAGATACACACATCGAGAGGCGAGTGAAGTAGCTGCTGAAGCATCACACTTGTGAGGCCTTAAATCTAATACCTGCCACAAGCATTGAGATTTACCCAGAACTCTCCATGTCCGGCAGGTTGATGACAAGCTCGCACGATCACGATAGTTCAGACATGAAAAAAGCTGAATTACTGTATCATCAGGCAATCTAGTCCAATCAAGCACACCTTTCATGTCAGAATTCAACCTCTCTACCTCCTGGCCTTCCACTTCCGCTGTGCCCCTCCTTCCCACCCTCCTCCGCACCCTTCGACTCATACTTCAATCAATGTACAAGACAAAACTAATCCACCAGAGTTTAAAGCCAGAGCTGAGACACAAAATGGCAACACTATTCACTCGATGACAAAGCCAAACGAAGTAAAAACCTGAAAACTTTTATCTTAGAAAGCAACTGCCTTTTATCTTAATTCCCTGAAATGTTAAAACCACGAACAATCATCCCAAGATCGAATCCACTTAAATGATACACGACAAATTCATATAGAACGCCTTTGACCTGAAACCACCAAAATTCAACAATCAGTAGTCCTTCGAACAGAATCCCAGCGGCAATAACTTTTTACACCACAAAGATCAACTCTTCTCAAAATCATTGATGAACATGCATGTACATGGAATTATAAAACATTTCAGTCACGCGAAATCCCGGTAAATCTTCAGAAATTGAATGCCCTTTCAGTAAATGTTATCATGTCAATTATACAACAATTTCCAATCATAAATGCATGACAGAAAAGAAAAGTCGATGTGTTTTTCCACAAACCTAGGTGTTTTAAGCTTGTGGGCCTTTATTTAAACCCTTAAATCTCCAGGCTGAGCATCTACTACCCTGTATGATAAATTTCATTAAAAAGAAGAATACAAAAAGCTGTGTGCATAAATATATCTCAGCGTGCTTGGAGAAGACGGATGATGAAGGATCGTAGAGAATTCAGGAAAGTATCAAAGCGGTGAGAGACAGCCCCAGACCACTTGTCCACTCCTCTCTCTCTGCACGCGCACGCTCACGCGCAGTTAGAAGACCGTCGATGGCGTGTTCCAAATTCCAAATGCAAGAAAATATAACATTTCTACAGAAGAAAAAAAGATCGTTTTGGGTGGAATTGCTAAAGGGAATTATGGGGGAAAATGGGGGGTGCACCTTGGGGAGAGATGCAATGGGAGGTTACTAAAAGCTTTGCCATTAACGCATTACAAAGAGTATACAGCTTATTAGGTAGAATGCAATCAACCATTTTCTTATGTTCGGGTGATTTGCATTTACATTGGTATGCCAAAACTAGTTACATTTTGCAAATTTTGAGTAGGCAAATATACAAGTAAAATTTAGATAACTAATATCTATAAACGTAGTATTGGAAAAATAAAAACATGCTGATAATATAGGTCGAATCTTAAGTTAACTTCACCCAACCATTATCGAATGTACTATATGCATCATTAAGAGAAGTTGATCGAGATTTGTTTCGGATCGACGAACAATATCTTACAAGGTGGGATCGTTAGAAAGAAATAATAGGAGATATGGTACTTCTCGATCATGTCTACCGCTAGTGCATTAAAAAGAATACACAGCTCGTGGAGTGAAGAATAAAATAAACCATTCTAGTATTTCTATGTGAAAACATTATACAACTAATAATTTGTGAAAATACAAGCAAATAAATACGCTACTGTGATATCGATCAGAATTTCAAGCTAATGATATCGCCCGTCATTGAAGTTATCAAGTTTATAACTCCCAAGAGACTGATCTCAACTTTGTTTTGAGGTAATAAGTCACGTCTTGCTGGATGATAATAATATGTATAATTAAAAGAGACGATACTTCTCGACTCCATTTTCAATAGATAGTTAACAAGATTTTCTATACAACAGTGACGCTATTTGAACAACTCAAGGTCTCGAGTCAAAGATCATCTTTTACATTTTTCATCTTAGATTTATATACAAAATCCTATGTTTTTAAAAATAAAATGGAATTGTTATTCGATAACGCTGCGGAATAATAACATCAATGAAAGTTTGATCTTCATCTGATTTTTAGCTTGTGTGAGAATATAAGTTTGTGATCCCTTTGAATATAAGTAATAAGTCTGTTTCATGCACTTATTTAGATCCTTTATCCAAGATAATTGCTCGCATTATGGGATTGAAGGGTCGATTTTCTTTTTGATTGTGATTCATTTCTATTTTGTAGGATAAAATCTCAACTCGACGTTGCATTTTGTTTTATATGTATATATATATATTAAAAAGAAAGCAGAATCGATAATAAAAAAGAATCTAGGAGCAAAGATTGAACCTCAAAAATGAGAATAAACATGAATAATGAGCAAGAGGAGAAAATCAAGAAGAACCAAAGTATTTTTAATTGGCGTTGAAGATTGGAACAGAGGAAGTTAAAGAAAAAGCACAATGAGAACCAACAAGCTAAAAACGTTAGAAGTGATGTGAATGTGCGTAAGAGTACATTGAGGCTTGAAGTCGATTTGACGAACCATGACCATCCTTCAGTTTCCTTTCTTTTTGATGCTATGTCAATGAAAGCTGAATTTTCTTTATTTACAAAATTTTATTTATCTAAATCATCTTATTGTGTTTAATTATATTTTTGTTATATCAAGATATTTTTAAAAAAAAAAATTTTGTGGAATGTGCTCGAAAACAAAATAATATTTTTATATTAATGCATAATATAGATAAAGATATAATACGAATATACTTGTAATAGAAAAGGAATTAAATTTATTCATTAGGTTAAAGTAGACATTTTAACGATGGACGTTTTGGAAAAACTAAAGCATAACGTGAAATTCTACCTTTTTTTTTTTTTTTTCTTTTTAACTAAAGCATAACGTGAAAAACTACCTTTTTTTTTTTTTTACTTTTCAAAGAAACAAAACCTTTGTAACTTCTAAAAAAAATGTAACCACTTTTTTTTCTCAAATAGCATTACCACAAAAAAAAAAGGAATTCCCATGTGACTGCAGACCGAAAAACCGTCTACAAACATTGCATGTCGTGCATCATGTGTTGTACCTTCAATCCTTATAAATATGCAATCCAGTTCGCGTGTTACCCTGAAACTCAGCGCTTTCCATTGCGATCAGAATGAGAGTCGAACGAAGTTCCGCGCATACGTCATCATCGTCGTCATCATGTTTCTCTCGATTCTGGTCGTCAGCGTTGAGGTCCAAACCGATATCTCCGGTATCGGAGACGTCGGTACGTACCAATTCCGGCGAGGGGCTAGTCCGGCGTTTAAGTCTCTTCGATCTCCTTCTTCTGGGGATTGGAGCCTCCATTGGCGCTGGAATATTCGTCGTCACCGGTACGGTCGCTAAAGACGCCGGTCCTGGTGAGCAATTCCGAGTTCACTAAATACTTATGCGTGTGTTAACCAGTTTAACCTCTAAGAGGTGGACGTATTTATTTAGGTCTCATCCCTTACATCGTATTCATCCTTTTTGTGTGTGGTTTGATAATAAAAATTTATTGTTTCGGAGAATTGGCAAAGAACTCATGACTGCGAAATGTTAATGCAGAATATGTAGAGTGAAATTTTAAGAGACGTTCACTCCATTAGGCCAAGTTGGCAGGAGAGTAATGTGCAAGTTTCTAAACCACAAGGGTTATATGCATTTCCCCTGATTTTGTAGTAGCTCTTTATCAATTATGAAGCGGATTTGGATTATTTTTTGTTCTTTTAATCTGATTTTTACTTTCTATGAAAAATTTCATTTATTTTAATCTGAATTTTGCAAGGTGAAGTATGAACTATTTTCAATTAGCTGCCAGTAAGATTTGTTGAGCTATTTGCCACTGAATATTGGCATTTTCAGCATCCACGGAAAGTACATAAACTGAACTGAATTTGGGATGTAATAAATAACGTGAGACTAGATGATACTTGTTGACCTATATATGGGTGATAAAGGAAATTTATGAATTCATCAGTGAAGTATGTTGTTATTACTAGTAAACAGGATTGCCAAATGAGCATTATTGGATTGCTGATAAAACTGCATCCAATTTCTACTAAGGGATTTTATTATTTGAGGTCAACAAAATAGGAAAACTTTCCAGTTGTGACACGTATGTCTCAGATCTGTATTATGGTATTGCCATTTGAATTTTATTCACCTGAATTAAAACCCTCATTTAGTGTGAGTATCGCTGGTGATTCACTGACCTGGTAATTGAAACCCTCTCTGTCAAAGTTTGACCCGATAATTTTATTCACCTGAATTTGAAACCCTCTTTATCATTGTTGTTCAAACTTTATCTGTTTATCCGGTAATTTCTTTTTGTGTTACTATATTCACTGATGCCTCATTTTTTACCTCTGTCATGCAGGAGTTACAATTAGCTTCATCATTGCAGGAGCATGTTGTGTACTGAATGCACTCTGTTATGCTGAGCTAGCTTCCCGCTTTCCTGCAGTTGTTGGGGGAGCTTACCTATATACATACTCTGCTTTCAACGAGCTTACTGCTTTTCTTGTGTTTGCTCAGTTGATGGTAGACTATCATATTGGTGCAGCTAGTATAGCACGTAGCTTAGCGAGCTACGTAGTTTCATTACTGGAGCTCATTCCCGTTTTCAAGGATAACATCCCTAACTGGTTTGGGCATGGTCACGAAGTTCTGGGAGCATTATCTATCAATATATTAGCTCCTATTCTCTTAGTGCTTCTGACAATAGTTCTTTGTCGGGGTGTTGGAGAGTCATCAATATTGAATTCATTCATGACAATAACAAAGGTTGATCCTGATTTTACACTTTTTTAAAGGCAATTGGTTTCTCCTTGTTTAATTTAGCTTATAACACTTTGTGGGGACGATGGATTTATAGTTTGATAAATTAAAATATATTCCATGGTTTATGTTTTTGAAAGCTTCTGGACTACTTCATATTTCTTCACTCTCTCAAAAATAGTTGAAACGAATGAATTCCAGTTAATATTTTAAGTTTTATCTATTCAACCTTTTGAATCAAAGCTGGTGATACTTGTAGTTGTGCTCCCTCTAAGGTTATAACCTTAAAACTCATTGCTTTATCTTCAGGACAGAATATGTGCACATTAATCAATTATTATAAATTGGAGTATTTGAGTCCGCGTCCGAGCATCATAATTTTTGCCAAATGTTGATAATAAGGTTAGAGGGTATCTTTTGTAGGCTTTTTGTTTCTCCTTTATTTATGTATTTTATCTTACGATTTTTATCTCTCATTATGTATTTTGTATTTTTATGAGCTTCTTGTTCACATCTCATCTGTCTCTCTGTTGCAAATATAATTCCTGTGCATGAATGGCCATGATGTATTCTAGATGTATAAATTTAACCTTTTGAATCAAAGCTGGATGCTGAGTAGCAATGTTTGTGGTTGTGAGGGTCCTATTGGTCTGACAGGGAAGAAATTATGCAGGTGGTTATCGTTCTTTTTGTCATCATTGTTGGAGCTTTTAAGGTTGATGTTTCAAACTGGACTCCTTTCGCCCCAAATGGTGCTAAAGCAATATTGACTGGAGCTACAGTTGTCTTCTTTGCATATGTAGGATTTGATGCAGTCGCCAATTCAGCGGAAGAATCAAAGAGACCACAGGTACATCTGAGAAAGATTGATTTGTGATATTGTGGCAGTTTTTATTTATTTCATTGATAGTATTGATTATGTTTTCAATTTTTACTCTATTGAACTTGATGTTTCAGAGAGACTTACCAGTAGGTATAATTGGTAGCCTCCTTATCTGTATTGTGCTGTATATTGGGGTCTGCTTAGTGATTACTGGAATGGTCCCATACCAGTTCCTTGGGGAAGATGCTCCTTTGGCTGAAGCTTTCACCTCCAAGGGTTTGAAATATGTATCAGTATTGATCAGCGTTGCTGCTGTTGCTGGACTTACTACAACACTTCTAGTTGGTCTCTACGTTCAGGTACATGGTATTTAGTTTAATCAGTGATAAATTTAGTTTCTCGCTGTTCAATTGGGCCAAAAACCTACTCAAAATGCTGAAAAGTGATTGCATGTTTCTTCTAATCAGTCTCGGTTATATCTTGGACTTGGACGGGATGGTTTACTACCAGCAATATTTTCCAAAGTACATCCAAGACGACACACCCCTGTTCATTCTCAAGTTTGGGTTGGTACTGTTGCTATTATCCTGGCAGGGCTTCTTAATGTCCGCGTGCTTTCACACATTCTTTCGGTTGGCTCATTGGTATGTAGTTTCCAGAATATTATGAATGATTGCATTTGTTCCAATATAGGCAACAGCAGGATGATTTTCTGCTTTTAATTCCTGATATATTCGTATAACCATACAGCACATCACCGTGCAGCTCTGTTCTTGTGGTAAATGGGATGAGCAATTTAGAGATCATGAATTGATTAACGATGAATGATTTTGAAACACACACACATCACATAGACCCACTAGGAATAAGCACGCCCTACTACAATGGTTAATTTGAAGGACTGACATCGATATTCTTTTATGAAGTATGAGACTAATGTTTTATCAAGCACCCTTGCATGAGCATTACAAACGGTTGGTCAGAATGAAATTTTGACCAAAGGATATATCTTGTGCTAATAAAATGTACAATGCCCAAAATTTCTCCCATGGAGGGATAATTATATAGGCTTACAATCTGCCTCATCTAGTCCAGAATCCCTTTTATGAAGTTTAGAGATTCACGGAAATGGTGTCATGTCTTGGTTCAGTGGTGTACTGGGTGGTGGTTTTATTGGTGAGGAATTTTGCTGGTGGTAGTTTGCGATGGGATATGGGTCAGAGAGGGTGGGCAAGGAAGAGGATTGGCTAAGGGTAGCGAAGCAAGACTGATATAGCTGTCGTTCGCTCTCCAAACCAATGGAAGCTAGTTACGTGAAAAATTTTGACAGGTAAACTGGAATGTCAAATAAATCAAAGGATGATATACATGCGTGCATACTTAAATACATACAGGCATGCATTTAATATTTCTCTCTATACATAGTAATCATTATTGATTGGTTTTCACGATACTTGTGATTTCTCTGTTCCAGACAGGATATTCTGTTGTTTCAGCTTGTGTAGTAACTCTTCGCTGGACAGATAAACCTGCAAGTCAGGTTTCTACCAGGAGGATTTCTCAAAGGGCTGAAGGCATCGTTTGCCTCCTTACAATTGCCTGCTGCGGTTTTGCTGCTGGAGTCTTCTACCGTTTTGGGGCTTCATTTGTTTTTATGATTCTAGCTACTGTTATTGCAATCTGTTGTGTTGCAGCTCTTTATTTACGACAAGTATGTTTACTTCTATCACTTGCAAAGGATGCATCAGTTCAAACTTTTGGAAATTTCATGCTATTTCCTTTAAGATAATTCAAGTAGAGAGAAATAGTTTACAAAGTACTTTATTAGAACTTAGAGAGCACGTGCTGATTCTTTAGTCTTGCATCAGGAGTCAAAACTCTAGCATTAACCATTCTGGGCAATTCCCCATTTGTAACATGATATTTGTTAAAATTTCCATTTTCCAACAAGTGACCTTTCAGCTTGTCAGCATCTCCACCACCATTTTCATATTCGCCTCCACTATTTTTTATTTTTTTATTGCTTCCATCCATACTGCCTTTTATCAACTATCCTTGCTTCTTAACAAAATTGTTATTCACAAGCTTGCCCACCTGTTTTGATTTCTTCATTTCTTCTGCACGGGCCTCCGCTTCTTTCTTAAGCTGTTGAAATATGTCATCAAAGTCATTGTAGGAAGTCCGTTTTGGATCATAAATTTCAGAGAACTCTCGCTTAACCATTGCAAGCAAGTCGTCCACATATAAGAGGTGGAGAATTCGCTGATATACAGCAAGTAGGAATTTATTTACTTATTATTTTTTATTTACGTAATATGAATCAATAAGAAATATAGTGGGATTTAGATGTAGTCTTTCTAGCGTATAACCACCAAATGAAAGGTTTGGATGCGAGCCAGTAAAGAAGTTCACTTCTTTGTTCTCTTTTGCAGGTCTATGCAGATCCACCAGGTTTTTCTTGTCCAGGAGTTCCAATCCTTCCAGCCATTAGCATTTTCCTCAACATATTTTTGTTTGCCCAGGTACTTAAATATAGCATCTGTTGTAGTATATTGAGCAGTAGATATGTACCAATATTCACTTAACCATGACTTAAAGCTACTCTAAGCCGACTGTCACCTATATTTTGCAGTTGCACTATGAAGCCTGGGTTAGATTTATCGTCCTCAGCATTATTACAATTGGTATTTATGCCTTTTATGGCCAGTATAATGCTGATCCTGTAAGTTCTAATGTGACGATTATATACCATAAGGCACCACCAGAAGAAGTTGAATAGTTACCTCTTAATGTAATTTTATGTTTTGTATTCTCTCTAGTAATCTTCTATTAGTATTCACCTTGTATAATAAGGTAATTCTACCACTCTATCCTGAAAACCCAGAAGTTACTTCATATCAAATGACATTTTGATGATAGAATTGTATATATGTAGGATTTCACCTTGTAAACTGCACGATATTGTTGTGCAGAATTGCAGTATGTTCAGATGTATACTGAGGATGCCGTGAAAGTTCATAATATTCTATATGAAATCGGATTTGGCAATGTATGTGATTGAATTGGTTTCAAGTGGTTAACTGATTATCAATCGTCAGAAGAGTGTGGAGTGGGTGGGGGAAGCACTGGTTATATTCAACTGAATTGCTATCTAGGTTAGGTTTCTATTTTGCTGAGGACTGTGATCATTAAGCTTGTTTTGGTGCGGTGTACTGGACTTAGGCAGTATTAAGAGAGAGAAAAAGAAACTAAGTTCTTTTACATTCTACCATATGGTCCTATGCGTACTGAACAAACTTACTGTTTTGGCTTAATGCTTTTATTCATTGTCGTCTCCCCTGTTTATACATTATGATTCTAGTCAACTGTAAACTGTGAAAGTTGTCTAGTTTAGCTGGTGGAAAAATATGCTGCTGACCCCATTTAGACACTGCATCGTGCAATGCGAATTTAAGACCAATTGTATGAATCCATGATTTGCTATATTCATATCTGACTTCAGATTTTGCCAAAACTAGATCTTGAACTTTCGTGCATCTCCTTTTCTAGGATTCTGCAAATGAAGAATTTATTGGTTATGGTCGTCCAAGTTAGCCAACGACATTGTCACCATGTTCTTTGGGCACCAACACGTCTGAATTATGGGTACTGAGCTACCTATCTTTAGATCTTATTCTTTCGATACTTACCTTTTCAAAAGCTATCATTAAAAGTGAAGAGTAAGGTCGCACATCAAAAGAGTGGGTTAAGTAATCAATCATTCCCTTTTTTGGCTACTTCGAATTGCCCTTAATATCTTCAATTTTCTTTTCCTGGAAATTTGCAGATATATATAGTTTCTAAATTTATGAGGTACCTTGGACTGAGTGAAAATTTCAAGGGAAATGTTAAAGAAAAACTAATCTTTGGAAATGTGAAAATTTGCAGGTATAGTTATGTGCTAGCAGAATAAAGGACATAGGCTTTGTCTAATAAACTGCCAATACATGTATATGTACTAATGTGCATATCGGCTTCCTTGATGACAATCTTATAGTGGTAAGGAAAGATATGCGTGCCTCTCACCTTGAATAGCTTATGTCTACCCGTTTTAGTGCTGTGTGGCTGTATCTATGTTGTACAGAGAGAGATGATTTCCTAAGTACCGATGCTTAGCTTATGCTTAAGTTTAAGCATCAATGACATAACCTATCATGAACCTATCAACCAATTAATTGATATGTCATGTCATCGGTACTCGGAAGATCATTTCCCTTGGTGTACATATGTACTTACCCTTTGGGATGTTGGTAAGATGTATTGATTCCTTCATGGGCGTTGCAAGGCATGTTTTGGTATTCTACATCAAATTACTCTTAATTTCTACCGGATACCATCTATAATATCTGGTAGACCATACCAAACATGTTTAGTATGATGGAATACACAAGATTTTGCCACAACCTATTACCAAGCTTGCAACCCAATCCAAATGAAAGAAACTTCTAATATTCAAAAATATGAGTACATAGGTAAAGACATGAATGAGTTCTTGGTTGAGAATTATAAAATCTAATTTTATTCTACCAAGAAAAATCAATTCGAAAAAAGAATAATAAACACCCAAAAATATACAAAATTTATAGAGGTTTCTCTGAATGTGATTATATTCTCACACACTGCTATAGTAATTCACTATGATAAAAAAAGTTTACAAGAGAAAATCGAACCCCTAATTTCTCTTGACTCTCTCTTTTTTATGATAATAAAAATGCTCAGTGACATCTCTATGTTTATTGGATAAATTAGGGCAAAATCAAATTTTACAAGGATTCAAATTTCTCGATAAAATTTTACAAGAACACAAATTCCTAAACATCACTTAATGAAATTTTGGTTCGACGGGATTGCCAGATAAGCAAAGTGGAGTGTGGGACTGAGTTTGCTCATTACGTGGTTACCACGTGACCATTCTTGGAACCTCGCTGGATGAGGCATAACAAATATTATCCATGAAACTGATATTCTCCCAATTTTTTCTATTATTTCTGTAAGTTTTCCTCCCCAAAACAACTTATCATGTTTACAGATTTCATTAGTATAAACGAAAATGCACGATCATTATCATTGAAGATGCAGTACAATTTCACACTTGATTGCAATCACAAAAGAAAGAAATTAGTAATCATGTTAGATTAATGATCACAAAAGCAATACATCTGTTAAGTGTAAAAAAAGTCAGTTTACCAGTAAACAAATTGAAACGAGTCAGAAGTATAGGGCAGCAGAAATGGAAATAAAAGACTCTTTCTAAATACATATCAGCAGGTTTATTTTGCAGAGTGAAGACAATCAACAACCAAGATATATTAGTAGTGGATGAACGTTTTCATAAATCAATTCATCAATGGAATGACTTAGAGTGCTTATCACAAAAGCCAGAATGTGTTTCGACTTCATGCAGGCAAGCATCGCAAAGATTAAGCCCCATTCCTTCTGATGTCAACAATAATATACAGAATGAAAATTGAAAACAAGCAAAACAAACAAACAAATTTCTATTGGTTCAATCTCAAGGTGAGAGCTACTTGTCACTCCAAGTTATTACTATAATAGAGACGAAACGTACAAGGTTTTCCTCAAACCTTTCACATATACAAAATTGACACCCAAGTGCACAGTATGATTAGGCTCTATGTAGTGAAACAAGCAAGGATTCACAAAACATGTGCACATAATTGATGCTAAACTAGGAGCTATGACAATCTCATTACAGAAACCGTAGAAACGAAACAATCATCCCAAATAAATTTCCTAGTAACCACCATAAGCTTCATCTTTACTATATAATTTACTCAGTTTGTCCAACTAATATAAGGTCTGCGAGGACAACAAATTAATAAATAGAACACCACTGATCAATGTATAATCTTTTTGGTACATAAAATTTTAACTTCATTAGTAACTAACAACCACTGTTTCCTTTAGCAGATGCAATCTTCTGAAGCCTAATTTGCTCTCTAAACTTTGCTATAAACTCACCAGCTTTCCTGTCAACTTCACTTCCTTCAAGCTCTGAATTATCATCAAGGAAAGTTCCAGCATCTTCCGAATCTGAGCTCGTGTCAAACGCACTTCCCAAATCTTCTTCACTCTCTACCTCAATAGGGTCATCAAAGTCTTGTATTCCTCCTTTCTGATAATTAGGAGCAACCCACTCTACCTCATTAGGGTCATCAAAGTCTAGTATTCCTCCTTTCTGACATTTAGGAGCAACCCTGGTGTTGATATCCCGTCGTTGAGTTTGGATATCTGAACAGATTGCCGGTGATGAGCTGGAGCAAGGGAGTGACACGTTTGGTGCAGGGCACCCACCATTAAAATCTTGGTTTCTAGTGTTGATTGGTGGGTCTTCAAGCTCTTCTATTGTCCTTCCTCTTTTCACCAATGTATCCTGTTCAAATTTGTCATGCATAATTTCAACCTTGTCGTCTATTTGACTTGAAGGTTTCTCCCTTTTCATTTCATCCACAACATATCCACTATTTCTGATTGTTCTAACAGATTTTGCTCTTGGTAAAACTTTTGACAATTTCACATCAGAGACCAAAGAATCAGTATTTTCTTTTCCTTTTGTCGATGTGTCCTCTTTTCCAAAATCCATTGAAGTCTTATCATAATTTCTCAGCATATTCATCTCCAAAGAAGAACCAATGCTAAATGGGCGAGTCTTTGAAACAGTTCCTGATGCTTCAGCATTTACAGGGGCTACTCTGGATCGGGAACCTGAGACAGATAACAGCTTAAGACCCTTCTTCCTCTCCACATTTTCCACGTATGATCTAGGCAATTCTGGAGAAGAACACAATGTGGAATCTCCAAATGAACCGAATTCGATATGCTCAAACTCAGATTCCCCAACTGAGGGAGGCCTAGTACGCGTGACAGGCTCACGGTTACTCATTTCTTCTCTCATTTCCTTTCTTTGAGACCTTGAGCGCCAGGGGATCGATGGTGGTTGTCCAGCAGCTTTTGCAAACTTCTTCTCCAAATTTTGAGGAACAACACCTCTAATCTTCTGAACTTTAACTTTATCAGTATTCTTACCCTCAGAACTTGGAGTAGTCTTACTTCCATTAACCAATTCAGGCTTATCATTATCCACAATTCTTGATCTCAGACTCCTAATAGGCAAGTTCAAGGGTTTATATTCAATGCTTTCATCAATAAAATATTTCCTATCTTCTACAACCACAGTGGATTCACCTTCAAGATACCTATAATTCCAAGTGTGTGGGCCCTGTTTCCCACTACCCTGATATATGCTTTCAACCCCATTTTCTGATACAACAAAAGATCGATTTTTTATACTTCGCATCATATTTTTCTCATCAGAGCCACGTATATTTTCAAATCCATCTTCGAAAACCGAAGGCACATTCAAAAACCCATCTAAATAAGCATTAAAACCATCATTTCTTGAATAAACATTCTCAGTTTCCAATTGGGTACTTTTTCTACAAAACAGGCCATAGGAAAGAGCAATGCCAATGAAAAGAAGGTGTATAATTTCCCAGAACTCGGAAAAAATGCTTTTACTAATGAACTCCGGAGCTTGTGAAGGAAACAGTGGAATAGCAGCCAGAACAAGAATTATTATGAAGGATTTACAGAGGGAATTTGAGTGGGACTTACTTCGAATTTGTGGGATTATTGAAGTTGGATCTTGCACTAGAAAATGAGGTTTCTTTGTGAAATCTGATGCAGACGCCATTGTTGAATGGAGTGCGAATGGAGATTGGGGGTGAAGAAGAAAAAGGGAGACTTAAGAGCAAAGTAAACAAGGGGCCATGACTCTGTGTGTGTGTGTGAGAGAGAGAGAGAGAGAGATTTCAAAAGGTGAAATAATTGTAACGTTGGTATTCATTGACGAAATTGCCCTGTCCATAATTAATTGATCTCCGCTTGTTTCGACTATTGAATTTATGATGACACATGGATTCAACTATTAATTCCACTAATTTAATTCATATTGTAGAAATTTTTTGAGAATATATTTTATATAAGTCATTTTTAAAAAATATATGTAATCAAAAGTAAATAACGTGCAAAATTATTTTATTAAATATGATCGACAGTGATCTATAAGACCTAGATCCCAATTAAACCTCCACCAATCAATTCAATTAAAAAATGAAAATCAACATTAAATTATTCATCACTCATTCTTTAAATGTCAAATCAATCAAGTTCACCGTCTAGACATATGAATGTAATTATATGAGTACGCGTTACCACTAAATTACTCGACATTTCTTGAATGAGATCTAAGTGTTAATCAGTTATTTTTTATTTTTTACGTTCACCTAATCTCTTCATTTCTTAGAAAAGTTTGTTTGTTTTTTTGTTTTTAATGTTCTGAATGACCCGATTCCACCATTATCTTACCTTTTACACATCAATTATTGAACCCTTGTTAAAACATTGGTGAGTAGGTGGTCTTGAATCTTGGTAGGTTTGATTTTGGATCACATATTTTGGGTTGCTCGTCACAAGAAATGACACCATGTTTGGAAGGTTTGCATGTTCGAATGTTGCAATACTCGTTGGCAACGGCTATGTTGTGTAAAATTGCATGTAAGAGTATATTTATTTGAATATAGTTATAGCTAATAATCTTTAGTAAATGTTATTTAGATTATCTCCAATCCTCCACCAAAATTTGAGGTAAGTTTTGCACCATTTTGTACCAAACAAAAAATCATCTCCAAACAAATCAATACACCAAAAATTGCATCAAATGAACAATGTTTCATTATTTTCTTCATTTTTTTTATCTTAAAAATATTTATTTATTTTATTTTATTACTATATAAATTACTAAATAAATAATTCGTTGAAAATATGAATTCATCAATAAATTTATTAAATGTAGTGATGCTATAAAAAACTTGTACCCGAGTAAACTCGAACTGGATGGTTGAACTCCGCACGATCTGATATTCAATACCTGAAACAAAAGCATCGAGGTGTGTCATCGTCGCACCTCCGATGCTTAAACCAGAAAGCGAAAGTGTGCAAAAGCTGTATGCTGAAATATTATTAAAAACGCACATGAATAACGAGGCTGAGCCATGTATTTATAGGTGTTTGGAGATGGAGTCCTAAAAAGTTCCAACTTCCTGTAGTCCTTATCCTTGTCGTACAAGATGTTTGTTTTATGTTAGAAGTGCACAGTTTGAGTTAGAGTGAAATTTGTAATGATTGGAAAGTTTGTATTCAAATATGAAAGTGAGAGTTATGGTCAAAATAAAATTACTGTTTGTAGGAGGTGTGAGATAAAGACAAGAAGATCGAGCAAAAGGTATCACTAGCCCGGCCTCATAGCACAACCCCGATCTCCAATGGTAACCCCGACCTTGGAGTTGGGATATTTGAGGGGTTAAGTTCAGGGGTCTAGGTCGAGCTCGGGCTCATTCCTAACACATTTATACTCATCGTGTAGTATAATAATTAAGAATTAAAATTTGTTCTATAACAAAAACAATGACACAAATACCCTTAATCGAAGGCGGATACACAAAAAAATCTAACGTGACAAGAAAGTTTTACAGTGGATCTGGCCTCTGGGGAAGGGGCTTGGCTGTTCACCATAGAAATGGGAATGAATGGCTATTCAGAAAGGGCCGGACCAATCCACTAGGATTAGGTGGATCATAACTGAGCCGAGTCCACAGCTTCTAGTTCATTATCCACTCACTTGTACTTGAAAAATGATTCAAAGGATTTAGGGAAAGTTTCACAAAAAACCTAAAAAAAATAAACAACTCCTCAGTAAATTGTCTAGTCTAACCCCTTTTTTTTCTTTTTTTCTTTTTTTTAACACACAATTTGTCTAATGTTTCGTCCTCCAGACATTTATAATAAACGGTATTACACTTGTAATAGTCAATCTTATGTTGTCATTGTTGTTGCTTCCATCAATTGGAACATACCGTGTTACATCACAATTGTCGTCGCTATCACTTATAATATAGTGTGTTATATTGCCACCAACGGCAACAATCTCTCCAAACCCACACACCACCACAATCAATCAAATTTGACACCCCACCAAAGTAAGGCTGAGCATAAATTTCCCAAGGGTGGAGTTTATTAGTGACGCCAATAATATTACAAATACTTATTTTTACCTAAGATTCACCTTAGCCTCAAGTTTGGTTCAACTTAAAATTTAAGTCAAAGTAAACAATCAATTATAATCACACTTTTCATGGGACATACAATTTTTCAATGTCATGTTCCATCAATTTGTATCAAAATTTACTAAAAACCTGATTTTTATATAAACCAAACAGGTGCTTAGTGCAAAATTCGGATCAAAGTCAAACGAGTCTGGTTAACCCCGACCCAATTGTGAACCGATCCTAGTCGATAGAGTTCACATTTTGGAATTAACCCAGTCAGAATTCAAGTTGTTAATGGAAAGCAATAGATGTAAACTTGCACCTTTCCAACCTCTCTCCTTGGCCAAGTATAATTTCAAATCTCAAATTTGGGGGTGTTATTTTTTCAAAAAATAGTGTTGGGTCCCATGGGGTATGACTTGGGCTACTTCATCTGTTGGGTTGGGAACACTGTGCAATGAATGATTCTGGACCATCAACTTTCTCCATCAATGTGAAGCTTTTATTCAGCATGTCCCTTTTGTTCATCAGATAATTCCTTCAGCTATGGACATGACAGAACCAATGAGATAAAAAGAGATGCCCCATTCAGTATTCACAGAAGTACCATTTTGGAATTTAGGAAAAGGAAATATCAATGATGAGGACCACAGTTCGATACTATTATGTTCATTTTCAGTGTGCTCCTCCACCAATTTATGGACAATATTCTATATTAGAAGCATTATCTTCAACATTTTATACTTGTAGTAGCGAAGGTACTTTTAAACGAAATCCGACCTAATAGACATTAAAATGGTACCTGCGCTGTTTTATATATAATATAATATTTTAAAATTAACTACAATTTGTCCATTTTCATGTCCAGTTAGCAGACCATTAGCCACAAATTCTCCAAAAAAATATTATTCAGAACTATTTTTTGAAATTTTAAGGCCACCAAACAAAGGCTCAATCTACGAGGACCTCATTGCAGTAATTATAAAAAGTTAAGGATGATTCTGTCAAGATTTGAAGGTTGAAGAGTTTGATGCATATATGGCAAAAGTTAAAGTCTTTCATTGCAATTTTGCCTTAGTGCTACTTTAGAACATTTTAGTCGAAGAAGCTCTCGCCAGCTCTAAAGTTTGGAAAACCTTTTAAAGTTTAACCTAAAAAAAGGAAATACAAATAAGCAAATCTCTAGCTTAAGCCCTCGTCTTATGGCGATTATAAAGAGAAATTGGGGGGAAACAATACATTGAATCATGATTTTTTTGGAGAATGTATACTTAAAAAGTTTTAAATTTACGTACAAAATATTTTATTGTGTGAATGAGTTGCTGAAAATGAATATAAAAAATAAATAGTTTTGTTTTAATGAAAGTCAAACAAGGATTAAATACCACAAAGAGAATTTGGTGCTACATACTAGACACTTCAAATTTAAGGTCATTAATGCTTGGTGTACAATTATTAGATGATTGTAAAATCTTACAACTTCTCACATTTGTGGTTGTGAGATTTTACAATCATCTAATGATTGTACAAGTGGAAAAATNCTCCCATCCATGGATTTCAAGAAATATGTTCACGATCTATAATATAATAAGGGTGTGTTTGAATCTAATTTTGAAGAGAATAGAAATTTTGGAATAGTGATTGATGTGAGAATGTGTGGTGGAAAAGTGATGAATTTTTTTTGATTTGTGTGTAATATTATTTTATTTGAAGAATGTATGGTTGAAATAAAGAATGAGAAATTAATGAGTGTCAAACAAGGGCTAAGTTGTCATATCCCCTACATTATTCTAGGGCATAATCAGAGGCGATTCAAGCAATTAGCTTAGCCAAATTCGATTAGGGGCCTTTACCAAGAATAACAATAAAGAATTATTAATAATAAAAAAAAATCGTCACTAACGGAAATTTAATCGGTGAAGCATCAATGGTGGTTTCAGACGGAAATCAATATATGTCGATGATTTCGACGATTACCAATAGTGTATTGTTGGTGATCATTGACATACCTAAATCTCTAAAAAAAACCTATGCACCTCCTTTAGTGGTCATTTACACTAGTTTTAACAAATAAAAGCTATACCAAACAATCACTTAATTTTGTACAACTTAACCATGTCCCTAAGCAAGCTTAAGACTAAGAATCTAATCATTTTGCATGAAAAGCATTCTTAAAAAGTTGTAACCATAATAATCCTGTTCACAAGCCTACTAATAAACTATATTATAAGTAATTATTCCCTTAAATAAGCAAAAAAAATTCAGCAATGTTACCTCCATCTCCAACATTAAATCCAACTTTTGTTTAACACAATCATTCTTCCATAGATTAAAAAAAAACAATAAAGAGAATTAGGATATCCATCCTCTACAAGTCTTTCTCCATAAAAAGCAGACTTTCTGGTCCCCTCATCCAAGTTTTTTAGATGGCAAAACCTGGAGAGAATCTATTACTATTTTGTCCTTGTTTTGATACTGATATTTCAATAGCTGGATTGGGTTGGCGAGTTACTCCAGCACCAGTAGCAGAGGATGACGAAGACGCGACAGCCACCCGCTCACACTGAGGACACATGGTAAGGGTGGTCGGAGGGTTCGTGTTCATGTAGAAGTGTGGGGAGAGCTTCAATGCTCTAAGCTCGTTCACTTCCTTGTGCAACCGCCTATTTTCCTCCGTTAGATTTTCACATCGTCGCCTTAAGTAGTCACAATCGACCTCGGTTTGCTTTAATTTTGTCCTGCGTCATTTGTAAACGACAGTCAATATACAAATCGAGGACTATGTCGTTTGCACTCTTCTCATTAGTACTTTTCCACTGAAAATCGACATGATACAAATAACTAAGAATAATGCTAAGTGTACGTTCCACGGGTTACATCTCGTTGTATGACACTTATGCGTCATACAAAGTCGAGAATGATATAAAGAAAAAATGTACATATAGCAAGATTGATAACTAAAGTTGGCCAAACAAGACTCAGAACAATTTTTCAGAAACATATGATGACATTTTAATGAATGCCAATTATACCCTTAACTACGTTAATTAATTACTAACCTTGCCCTCCTGTTCTGAAACCACACCTCCACCTGCCTAGGCCTCAGATTCAGCTCTTTCGCCAAAGCCAACTTTTGCTTCTGCAAAGCCAAACAACGGACGGGTTTAAAAACCGTGCCGACAAAAAATTTAAGGGTCGAAATGGATCGTATCTTGCTACAAAATAAACAAATAAATGAAAACAAGATTTTAGCGTGAATTGTCCGGAGTTGGATGAACCATCTGGTTTTATTATTTCGACTGTTTCTCAAATTTTCGTTTCAGACATGGACCCATTTTCAGTTCAATTCTTGTGCATTCATGAATCATGAATACACACAAAAGTACCTTTGACCCACTACCAAAAATACCACTAACCGGGCTGAGAGTATTATGTTCCTTGAAAGTCTCCTCAAGTACGGCCGCCTGTTCCTTTGACAGCCGCAGTTTCTTCCTCGCCGCATCGCCGCCATCCTCCTCCTCGAGAGAGCTGGTTGCTCTCTCGCCATCGTTCTCCTCTCTCTCATTCCTCTTTCCACTCAAACTTGACAGTGTACTGTTTGGTGATGACGCCATCACTTCTTCCTCACAGTCTATTACAGTCACAGGCCGGTTTACATCGATTCCTCGAAGAAAAGATCTTGGCTCAGCAATGTAATCTGAAATTTATAAATAATATGAGATTTTCTCTAAAAACTCATCTTCTTTTTGCCTCTAAAAGAAACTCCTTTTTCATATATTTTCATCTTTTGGAAATTTTATCTGTTCAAGGAAAATCCATTTACACACAAAGAAGTGCAAAAGAAAGAAAATTTCTTAAAAGAAGCGAATTTTCTGTAAGTTCTTACAATCATTTAGTCAGAAATCAAACATGCAGGCACAGATTTGGAAAGGAAAACATATGAAATTGTTAGATTTATGTTCTTCACAAAATAAAACCGAAAAAACAAAAACATACCAGCCGGTGATTTTAGTGTATCGTTCCCGTAATGATGATGCATAAAAGGCAAAGCAGACCTCATGAGATTCAAGGGGAAATTGGGTGTGGGTGGATCCGGAATCTTGTTATCTGGGCATCTCAAGCTCAAACTCAAACCCAATTCATCAAATTTCCCAGCCATCTTTTTCTCTCTTAACTCTTTTTTTTCTCTCCCTTTCTCTAAATTAATAAGAACCCAAGAGGCAAGAACTCCTTTTTCTCTCTCTGTATGTCTTGGATTTTATAGAGATGGAATCCAAAAGAACAAGGGTGGGTGGAGGGGGGGACAGGGACAGAAGGAGAAGAAATTGGCTGTTTTTTTTTTTTTTTTGCAGAGGAGTTACAGCTTTTCTTAGGCCAGTGCAATGCAGTCTTAAGATTGTAGATTAAGACCTATCCATATATTAAAGAGAAGTAGAGATACAAGAGTGTGTATATATAGAGAGGGGGGCTGGTTTGAGTAGGGTAGGGTAGGGATGGCGTTACAGATATAGAGGCAGATGTTAATGATAGTTGTGTCAGAGGTTGCTATTGGCTCAATGATGTGATGGGATATGGCTTCGATATTTGAGTTGAATTTACATTACTTGGGACTTGGACTAACCACGGGTCTGAATTTCAACTATGGATGTTTTTGGTGATGACATTTTTGAATCAAATAATTTCTGTTTGGGAGGGATTATCTGAGCTGGAAAAAATATTTTAAAAAAAAATGTAATTCAAAAAATGTTATGAATTCAATTGTAAAAATAAATTTACTATGTATAATGGTAAAATATTTAGTCATAATCCAACTCCAAATTTTGTCCAACATACCCAAAAATTTCATCTCATCTGTTTTGTTATTTCTAATGTCAACATAAAACTTTGACACCTCGATACAACTTCTTCTCGATTTGAGATACAGTATACCCCCAAGAATAAATTGTTCATACGTTAAAGCTGTCTGTGAGTTGAATTAGAACATAGTGAGACAGTTGTTATAATTCCTATTAAATTAAGAGCTTATTTGGGAGAGATTAGTTTGTTTGGGAGAGATTTTTGGGGAGAGAATTGATTTTGAATAGTGATATGATGGAAAATGTGTGGTTGAAAATGAGAATTGATTTACTGTAGAAAAATTTAATCTCTTCCAAACAGGACCTAAGTTTTAATATTATATTATTGAATAAATACTATTTTTACCATGCAATAATATTTCGTGTCAACCAAACAAAAAATTCCCTTCTGTTTCACTTTTAACTTCAGCTTTTCCTCTTTTTCTTTTCCTTCTCTCATTTTTCAACCTTGGTTAAGTCAAATCTTGCAACTGTAACTTCTCATTCAAAAGCAGATTCCCGTGCGTGGACTGTTGACCAAATGGATGATTTTCAGGCGCACTATTTGACTCACGCGCCTAACTATGCGTGTTCTTTTTAGCTTATCTAATCTAGCCCTTGTTCAGATTAAAATTAAATTTTATTGTAAGTTTTAATAAAAATTAATGAAATCAATTATTAACTTTGACTTAAATTAAATTTTAATTTTTACCGAATAGAGACTTAACTTATTTACTGAGTTTCAAGTGAAAGTGATGGAATTAGTCGAAGTGACCCGAACATCCACGATTATAAAAAAAAAAAAAAAGAATTTCAAGTGAAAGTGACACTATATTCTATAGTTGAGCCGCTCGGCTCATCAATATTCTACTAGAATCGATTTGATCCATCATACGAGTTGACTCATATTTGCTTGCAGGGTTAGTCTAGCCAATTTACTTCTTTAACTATGAACTTATATTTTACTCACAATTCACTATCTACTCGAGAGATGATTCCCACGCAGCCAACGAGCTCGCAGCCAACAACCAATCGATTCACATGACTATTTTGCTACTTAGAGCTTGCCTCCAACACTATCTGAGATAGCTCAACTCGCTTCACTTAACACTCTTACAAATATACCATAATTATTTGATGTCTTGTCTTTTTTTCATTTTTAAGTTTTATTGTAGACCTAGAAGTTCAAAGAATTTCAAATAAATACTATATTAAAATGGAATTTTTAGTACTCCATATAGGGAATAAAAAGCAACCAATTTGGACAATTAATTCTAGTTGTTCTCATTAACTAAAGAGTTATTAATAATGTTGAAAAATAGGTTACAAAACCTGGTCCTGTATTGTGTTATTGCAAGGGAGCACCTAAGTAGTAATTAATGTGCATTATGTTCATTAATGCTTAATTAAAAATCAATTGAAAGGAGGTTATTGCTTTGTTTATGCATTGAAACTCCTATTTTAAAGAGAATTAAATGTGTTTGAATTATTTAAGGGAAATTTTCTGTAAACACAACATGTTGATTTTATAGGGACTTGAAAAAAAAAATATAGTATAATCCAAGTCAAAGTCAAACAATCAATATTAACCACATATTTTATGGGTCCCACATCTTTTCAACCACACATTTCAAAAACTTCTATCACAATCCACTAAAAATCTAATTTTAATTCCCACCAAACACCCTCTTAAATTCAATATTTTGAGAAATTACAACTTTTGATTGTTGGCATGTTTGACTATTATAAAAACACTTTAGACCTTTGCAAAAATTGCATAAACTTCTCCAGCAGGCAGAAGTGGATACTTTTATTTTGACTTTTTGTTTTTATGCTATCTTTAACTATCTTTTTTTTTAATAAAAAATCTTATCTTTTTTATTTTTAATCTAAATAAGAGAATTGATTTTACTTTTTAGCTTGAAAAAGGTTTATTTTCTTCTCTTTTTCCATAAAATGATTAGATATAGGGGTGTAACTCGTAAGCGTTCAATTTATTTTTCTCTCTCGTTTTTCTTGCTTTTTACTCTAAAAATAATTATATTCGTACAATAATTTTTATTTATTGTATCATATTTTAACTACAATGAAAGTCGTTAACTTTTGCTTGTCTCTGCGCATATCTTCGACTTTTTTCTTTGCATTCTTATCTTCGAACTTCTATTAAATTAGCACATCTTGCTGTTAACGATGATTTTCGTCCAAAAACATATTAGACATAAAAAGACCATCAAATGCTTGAATAAATAAAAAATGCAACAAATTTAAAAGTTCGACATAGTAACTTTCACTTGTTCCAAATCACATTAACATAATATTTGGACCAAAAAAAAGTGTTCAAATGATAAGAATAAGATTTATTTTATTAATACCATTAAAAATATCATAATGAACCCCACCCTACACCCTTATTTCGCACCACCTAAAAATCCCGTTTACATCCCATTATAAGTAACATGACAATGTGTTACATGGATATGTTGACAATTAATGAGTACCACGCTGATAAGGTGATATTTGGACGGAAATCGTCATCAAGTTAAAACGTGTTTAAATAATAAGAATAAGATTTATTTTATTAATACCGTTAAAAATATCAAAATGAACCCCCACCATATACCCTTATCGCGCACCACTTATATCCTGCTTTCACCCCGTCATAAGCAACACGACAATGTGTTACATGGATATGTTGACAATCAATAATTACCACGCCAATTTTGAAGTCGAAAGTTTGTATGAGATGGAATTATAAAGAATCACATTGTATCCAAAATCGTGCCTACAACAAACACCCCATTATAAACAACACGACAATGTGTAACTTGGATATATATCTGTCGTGTTACTTGGATATGTTGACAATTAATGATTCTTATGCCCATAAGACGAGGTCAAGTGTAAGTTATTTGTTGAAGATATATCATAAGCAACGTGACTATTTGTTACTTGGATACGGCAATCGGTGATTTCGATGCTCATAAGATGGGGTCACATGTAAATTATTCGTTGAAGATACATATTTTTAGCTAATGAGATTTGGAGACATCAGTTTCGATTTGGAAATAAGTATGAGTGAAATAAATATGTCGGTGAAGTGTAAAAAATCACGTTGTATCAAATGATGACATTTTTAAATTTCTAATAAGAAATGATTACTCAACGAGAAAATAATATTAATTTAGTTACTCACATATTTTCATTTATATCTAAAAACATAATTTAATAATAGAAGAGATTAACTAATTCAATATCAATATTATTGATGCTCCGGAATTCATGCTCTAAAACAAAACAAGCGAAATGCCAAGTTCAAACGTTAAAAAATTCAACATTGCTTTTGTAGCCGATTTGAAGTCCATGTCGGATGTTTCTGTTGTCGTCGATCTAAAGCCCTTGTTGGATAAGAAGGCTCCCTAGATTTGGTAGAAAAGTGGCTTGCATGCCAAAGTATCCGAATAAGACAGTTCGTTACCTTGGTTTAATACCTCCAATGGACTCTCAAGATGGGACTATTGGAGACGTTACACGAAAACACCATCATGACATAACATAGGAAGTGTTCTCGTTTAATGGTTGCATCGTTCAAATCGACCAATCAAGATGATTACGTGATTGCTTGGGGCACATGCTAAGGCTAAGGTATCGTCATGACTCCGTTAAGATTGAACTCTCCAACTAATCAAATTCTTTCAGATTCTCTCAATAAAATAATATTACACACAAATCTAAAATTTTTCATAACTTTTTCACCATACATTTTCTCATCAATCACTATTCCAAAAATTCTATTATTTAAAAAATGGGTGTCAAACACTCCCTAAATTTACACTCCTTCCGTCCTATTTATATATGCTGGTTTTCCTTATTTTCTTATCTCAATTATATAGTCTCATTTCTTTATTGAAAATATTTTATTTTTTTCGTTTATTAATATACCCTTATTTAACTTGTCTAATTATCATCAATTTTCTACATGTAATATTGAAATTGTACAAATATAAAGATATCTACTCCTAGAAATCATCCAATTTCTTTATGGTTCCCAATGAATATGATCAAAATAATTTATGAATGTGAGAATTGAAAATTAAATCATTCAATTTCTTTACTATTTCCAACGATATTTTACTGTTAGTTGTTGATAATTAAATAAGGGTAAATTAGGAAGATTTTTTTACAAAAATTGATTTTTCAATAACATTAAATAAGATTTTTTAATCCGTGTTAAAAATAAGACCAACATATATAAATGAGACAGAAATAGTACTAATTTGCATAAATTTATATAGTCATAGTACTTGCTTCAATCTCTAACTTGATA